CACAGAGATACACCACACACACACACACACACACACACAGAGGACATTTCTTTCTTGGTTCATTATGTTGTTCCAGGAAAACATCCCCTTTATTTTGTTTTCAAGGATGAACCATCTCTCCTCCCATACATTTATTTTCCTGTTGCCATTAACAATACCAATTGTTTCCAGATAGCAAGCTTAAGATTTCCCTGTTAAGAATGCCTTCCTCTACTGGCTGGCAGGCCATGATGTGCTGGTGAATCAATCTCTCCCTCCCTCCCTCGTCTCTCTGTGAGGTGGGTGGGGGAGATGAGCGAGAGAAAGGGAATGAGAGAGAGAGAGAGAGCGCACATGCATAGTTATAGGGTCTCCACTGTGATGCACAATGGTTAAGAACAAATTTCTAATGTACTGTGTATTGTGGCTTTATATAATTCTAATGTGTTTTATCTTAAAATTTACAGGTTTTTTGTACATATGGCCCCCAAAGCAACTTTTGATAAAAATGGTTAAAGTGTCATGACATTCAGATGTTTTGGACTACAGTTCCTAACATTCCCAACCACTGGCCATTCTGCCTGTGGCTAATAAATATCTGGAAGTTGGAAAAGGCTCACATATGACTTACTAAATTTGCTCTGAGAGCACAATTTCTTATTTTCCTTATATCTGAATCCAACTCAGCACAGAAGCTTCTGATATTGTCCCACAGCAAACTTTCCACCCTGACTATTTTACTACCTGGTGAAAATGGAGAAAAATTCATTTGGCATTACTTTTCTTCCCAGAGATTCAACCAATAGGTATATAACCTTAAATCCATTTATATACCACAGCAGATACACTTTTAAAACATTCTGGAATATGTTTAGAGGCCCTCAAACTGAATTTCAAAAGCCCCCATTGCCTAATAATACAGACAGAACCATTAGATACAGATTTCAACAACTGCCAGTTTTGACATTGCAAAAACTGCTTTGCTGTCTGGACAACTCCTGTCTCTCCCACTAATATGCCTCATTAGGAAGACATTCAAAAAATTAATGGTGGCTATTATGCCTGACCAGGAAAAAATCTCATCAAATAAAGGACTCTGGCAAGCAATCTAAGCCACTGCCCTCCTCTGAAATAGGAGAAAGAAAGTCCAGCAGCCTGCAGCATGTGCGAGAAGACAGGAAAGCTGCTGTGTTGCCTGGGTAACCAGGCAGCTCCCTCTCTCTTACTGCCTTCTGCTGCGGCAGAGCACCGGAGAAATAAAATGGCATGGCTCATGATGGCCATACGCCATCAGTGAAAAAACACACTTTAGGTCAATTTGACTATTTGGCCACCCAAAAATCTCCACTTAACTATGATTATTTTCACAGAGGATATGTCAGGCAAGGTGTAATACAGGCACATGTGCACTCTGCACCAGCTCTGGAGCGCATGTGTGCATAAATTGCTACCCTTTTCCTTAAAATATGCAGAAGAGACAAATGGGAAAGACTGTCACCGTGTGCCTCTTAAAAGAGAAAATACTGATTTGAACACACATACAGCACACACACCTCTTCTAGAGTGTAGCAGAGCCTTATCTGGGCTTTTTCTTCTGGTTGATCACAGTTCATGGAGGAATAGAAAAGGACACATTCCCACTCCTGGCCTGCGCTGTCCTGCCACACTTCACAGTCCACACAGTGGGTAAAGATATGAGGAGAGCAGTATCAGCAACATGTCTCACCCGTGATTCAAAATCCCAAGTTCTAAATCAGGCGCTTCTTTATAAATTACATTTGAAAGTGCCCACCTCCACCAGATTAAAAACAGAATAGGCTCTAATACATCCATGGGGACTCCTCCTTAGCTCCCCATGCCAATGTGGGACATTCAGGGGAAAATGATGGTGAAAAGAAGGATTTAATCTCCCCACCTGAAAAGCAGTTCCAAGTCAGGGCCTCATGAACTCACTCAGGAATAAATCAAACCAACCATGCCTCAATTTGCTATGTTAACTACATGGCTACAAACTACTTCCACCTAGCTGCTGGAGATCTCCTGGGAACTGTAATGGCAGACGAAGCTTCATACAAGAACACTAGTTTCAAGTGGCCTCCTCAAGGAAACAGCAAAGCCCACCAGGCGCAGAATCTCTTGCAATGACCTGAACACTGGAATAGCACATGTGCAGAAGCAGACAGAGTCTCTGAAGAAAGAATTAGAAAACCACTCTTTCACTTCAAAACCTATCTAAGCTGGAGTCCCTCATCTGTCCACCCACCTTAGTTATGAAATTTGGAGCACAGATCCAAGGCGACAAATTTAGCTTTCCTTTCTCTCACACCTTGCCCAACAAGTTTCCTAGAATAATTCCTCTAGAGAAGCACTACCTTAGGCAAAACAGCACTACATTAGACAAACTAAGTCTAAAAAGCCAACATGCATTGGACATGCCTAGGCCCATTGTGCAGCAGTTCTTTTACTGCTGGGACTGCATGGGATGCAAAAGAAAGACAAGGACAAGAGGGCAGCTAAACAAGATGGGAGAGGGACATTTTTTTTTCCAGATTGGGCATCAATAAAGCACAGGAAAAAGTTAGCAATTTAGTCTTTTTGCCTTTAGCTTCAATCAATGTAGGTACAAATCAGTTTTTGACAGTTTTAGATGAAATTCACATATTTTAGAAACTATTTTACAAGACTTTGGAAAATGCTTGCATATTTTTAGTTGTACACAGTAGGAAGAATCTGGCTGTTCTATTTATTTTTGCATTAATAAAATAAAATGAAACCTCATCACATGCATCTGCATATGTCTGCACTGCTTGTTTATTTGTAATATTTATGTCCTTCCTTTCTTCTTTTCAAGAAAATCAAGGCAAATCATAATTCAATCTCAATCTTATCTTCACAACAACCCTGTGAGGTAGGCTGGGCTCAGAGTCTGTAACTAGCTCAAAGTCAGTCAGTGAGCTCCATGGCTGAGTGGGGCTTCAGATCTCTTGAGTCCTAGTTCCACACTCTTAACCTCTACACCACACCAGTTCCCTGTGGCTCTCAAATCTTACTGATACCCAGGAGGAACAGTGCAACTATAGCACGGACAGGGAGAGGAGCAGAAACAAAAAAGAGTCAAACTATTCTATGGTTGATTCAACAAGAGCTTTTTCCTATTGTCTCCATCCCCATGCAGTCACCAGTTCCTTGCATCTCAGAGCAACCAGGCATAGCCAACCTTGGTCTCCACCAGCTGCCAAGAGGCTTCACCATGACCCCGCCAGAAGGATCACCCACCCAGCCAAAATCTTAGAGTCTGGGCCCTACAAACCTGGCAATGCTGCCTTTCTGTCCATCTCAAAGGGTGAATAAAGGAGCATTTACCATTCAATGAAGAGATAACAACATTACCTGAATGTATCAGATGCAAGCTTTTGAGAATATTAGCTTCCTAAGCACAAGATGGCATTCAGCCATTACACCTAGCGCACATTTATACGCAATGGCCCAACCCCGCAATTTCTAATCTTGCCAGCAGCAAGGTCTGAACAGCTCCACTCATATTCCCTTAAGCACAACTAGACTTCCTCACATTGCAGAGCCCAGTAAAGCAAGCATACATGTTCAAGATTGAGTGGCCAGAAGCACCTCTAAGTGTAATGTAGGAGGCAGGGCATGTTTGCCCATTTCAGTCCTCCCTCTCCCTGCAGCTCACACATTAGTGAATCCACAAGAGGACTACTATCACATCAAAACATCAGTTTGGAAATAGGACATAGGTTGGACCCTGATCACTGGCATGCATTTCTTATGAGCTTCACACACTGATCACTGCATATGTGCATGCACCCCACCCCCCCATGTTTTGGGAGCTCATGAACAGCAAAATGTTTCCAGAATAACAATGAAACAGTCATTTAAAAAACAGTAATTATTATCTATTAGTAAATAATGTTAGAAATACAGGGTCCACATAATTTCACCCAAGAAAAGATTTCCTAAGTTATTTCATAGAGTGTACAATATTGATCAACCTAAATAAGAATATTCTGCTTTTTTAAAAAAAATAGCTCTACTTTATGGTCAAAGCATTCATGCTAGAGCCTAGAATGAATGACTAGCCTAGCCGGTATTTTTCCAGCCTATCTGATGATAGTGAAATTGGGTGGGAGCTGTGTGTGCACCATTTTGTTAAATATACTCTGCTAAGGGAAGACATTCTCCAACAAGTTTTTTGGGATGGGCCTGAACATCAGTAGTGGTGGCAGCACAACAATGGTGCTCTTTTTCTATAGGTTTTTTTTTTTAATGCTACTGCAAACAACAATGGCAGCTGCTATGTTTGCAGCCTGGCAACCTTTTTGCATATAACACAATACCGCAGGCTTAGTGTCATTCCAGGGCATTCCGGGGGTGAAGAATAATAGACACCCACCCCATAGCAAAAAGTATTAGCTTTAGGGAAAAAGCAAAATGAAAAATTTCAAGACGTTTTGTCAAACCAGCATCAAGAGAAATGTTGGATCAGCACTGTCAACACAAATAGTAAATGACTGCAAAGAGTTGCCTGAGAAAGGTATTATCAGGGCTACAATACAGAAAAAATCACAACTGCCTATCCTGCCATGCTCTAAGTCAGGTCTGCCTAGCTTGGGGCCCACTAGGGCAACTGCAGCCACCAACTACAGTTACCAGTATTCCACGATACACATGTTTATGCAGTGCCAGGAAAAGAGCCCAAATAGGAGGTTTACCTCATAGGTAGTTTTCAGCATGATGGGCACAAGTTGTCCCCCTTGCCCAGATGCAGGTTTAGCCATCATGAGCAATTGTCAGGGATTATGGGGTTTCAATTGTCCAAAGTTTCTGGGGTCAAGTAGGAGATGGTGTGCTCAAGAGTACTTCCCTTGTTAACTCAGAACTCCCAAATGCTACTGCCCAAGGAAGCTACCTTTCCTACCTTGTAGGTTTGGTTGCCCTGAACAAAATGCGCCTGCTGTTACAACTGGAAAAGCCATATTAACACATTTAAAACAACTTACCTGCTTAAAGATTCAGAGAAGAGGACTGAATAGAAGTGTTCAAAAGCCGCAACCTCTCTCTACATTCCAGTCTCACAATGGGAGAAGTCTGGCGGTCTACAGAAGTTGCATGAAATGACGTAGAAGAGGCAGTGCTGCAGATTTAACGAGGTATATTAGGTAAAACTAGTTTGCCAGTGGAGTGTCTCTGTGCCTTTGGCACTGCCCCATCCTTCCCAGGCTCTACTCTGAGCAGGCCTACAAGCAAGTAACTGAAGTAAGTGCACACTCTCCTAGTTTAGCACTTTTTCTGTTGTTCCCCAGGTCATAGTTTAGACTGTAAGTCCCTTTGACCAGGTTCTGTTATCTTTTACTCTGTAAAGCAATAAGCACACTGAACAGTATGCACCAAAACAAGTCTGAAAACTGATTCCTGACATTGAAATTTGGAGGGAAATGTTTAACTTTTTAAAGGAATTATTTCCTGTTTTTAGTCTATGAGTGAAATGCTTTTTAAATCAGGGTTTTAAAGTATTAAGTCAAAATGATTTATAGTAACTATGTGTATCAACCCTTCCTGAGTGTCCTCCAGAGACCTTGGACTGCAACTCCCATCAGCCCCAGGCAGCATCAGAGATGCTGGAAGTTACAGGTGAAATCTTTGGAAGGCTACCAAGTTGAGCAAGACTCATGCAAGGCAACCTGTAGTGCAAGGCTATTACAGTCCTCAAGTGTATTGATGGATACACCTTAAGAGTATGACCCATTAGAAACAGAAAGAGAGCTGGGAATAGTGTGAAGGAAGGATTGTTGTTCATGCTGTGTACATACTTCTCTTTGTCACTTCAGTGATGTTGAAGGTTTTACTCTACATAGCAATATTGATGCTTCTTGCTTTAAACTCTATTATCTCTTTACTTTCCCAACTGAAAAAAAAAAGCAGGTTGCTTACCTGTAACTGATGTTCTTCGAGTGGCCATCTGTGCAGTCACACATATAGGGGGTGCTGCGCCTGCACAGTGCCTTTGGCCGGAAGATTATAAGCTAACAGTTTTTGGTGGGAAAGCTCCGCTCCCCCTCCCCCATGGCCTATAAAGAGCGGAGCGTCCGCCATTTTGTTCAGTCTTTGACGACCGAACGTACGCCCCCATGTGGAAAAAATATCCCTACTGTAAACGATATCGGTACCAAGACAAAATGGAAATGTTCGGTACTGACGAAAATGCCCACTCACCGACACTGAGCGGGGCCGGCGGGTGGGTTGTGTGACTGCACAGATGGCCACTCGAAGAACATCAGTTACAGGTAAGCAACCTGCTTTTCTTCGTCGTGGCCTCTGTGCATCACACATATGGGTAGATTAACAAGCTTACCATAGAGGAGGAGGGAAGGTGTCCTCATTGTAGGACGGAGGAGAGTACAACTCTACCAAAAGAGCAATCCTGCCGAGCCCGAACATCGAGACGGTAGTGCCTGGAGAAGGTGCAAGGGTTCGCCTAAGTAGCGGCTCGGCATACATCATCAAGCGGGACCTCCGATGCAAAGGCGGATGAGGCTGCAACAGCCCTAGTCGAATGGCCTTGAGGGGCTGTAGGCAAATCAATCTTAGCCAGTTGATAGGATAAGGTTATAGTATGGACTATCCACTTGGAAAGTCTCTGCGGAGTGACTGGATCGCCTTGATCACTGGTGGAATATTTAATGAACAGTCTATTTGAACGTCGAATAGATTCAGTCCTCGATCTGTAGAAGGCTAAGGAGCGCTGAACGTCAAGTGAATGCAAGGATCTCTCTAATGGAGTTGACGGTGGCGGAAAAAAGGCAGGTAAAATAATATCCTGTCCCATATGAAAAGGCGTAGTCACCTTAGGAAGAAAAGAGGGGTCAAGGCACAAAACGACCTTTTCTCTATGAAGATTCAGGCAAGGCGGGTCTATATGGAGAGCACAAAGCTCACTGGCCCTTCGGGCTGAAGTGACCACCACAAGAAACGCTGTCTTCCAGGAAACCAGACACAAATCTACTGTTGCCAATGGTTCGAAAGGAGCTCTCGTAAGCGCTTGCAGAACAACAGAAAGACTCCAGGTAGGCATTACTGGTCTGATTAATATTCTGCAGTCCCTTAAGAAATCTCTTAATAGGTTGAGAGAAGATAGGTGATCTGTCAACTAAGCCACGATGGTAGGCTATTGCTGCCGTATACACTTTAATCGAAGACAGCTTTAATCCGGAATGGTGCAGTTCTAATAGGAACTGAAGGATTTGATGTATAGATGATGTAAATGGAGAGAACGAATGAGACTCAGCAAAGGTAGAGAATCGTCCCCATTTAGCCACATAAGATTTCCATGTGGACGGCTTTAAAGCAGAATCGAGGATATGTTGGATATCAGGATGAAAGGCTGTCGAATTCAATGGGTCAAGCCTTGAATCCGATGGTGTGGAATGAAGAAGGGAAGAGAAAACGCCGAATCGATCGGACTCGACGGCAGGATTTGATTCACTTGAAGTTGTCGTCGATACAGGTGGCGCAATGGTAGCTATTGGATTCAACACGCTGTTAGGTTCAATGACAGCAAGTCCGGGTGGCAAAGTGTACTGCCCTGTTGGGTTATAAGGTACGGAAGCAGTGGTAGATGAAGGTATTCCCCATGAAAGATGTCGAGTAGTGTCGCAAACCAAGCTTGACGTGGCCACCAAGGGACAACTAGAATCCCTGAGGCTCGATCGTATACTATCTTCGCTATGACTCTCATCACAAGAGGGATTGGAGGGAAGGTGTAAAAGATCATGTTGTTCCATGGGATCATGAAAGCATCCCCTAAGGATCCGTCTCCAATCCCTGCTCTCGAACAGTAAGCATTGCACACCTTGTTCTGTTGGGTTGCAAATAAGTCCATGTCGGGGGAACCCCTGCGATGAAAGAGATGGTCGCGTATGTGAGGATCTAGCTCCCATTCGTGAGAGATGAACATGTGCCTGCTGAGAAGATCTGCTTGCACATTGTCCGCACCAGCTAGATGAACAGCCATCAGCATAATGTCTCTCAGAATGCACCAGTCCCAAATTTTCATTGAAAGTCTGGCCAAAGTCAGTGACTTTGTTCCCCCTTGTTTGTTCAGATAGAAGATGGTAGCTACGTTGTCCGAAGTTATCTGAATGACCCGATGTTGGAGAATGTCTTAGAAAGAGCGTAGGGCTTTGAATACTGCCAACAGCTCCAGGAAGTTGATATGACTTGTGGACTCTCGACGATTCCACGTGCCTTGGGTATATAGGCCGGAGCATATCGATCCCCATCCCAGAAGAGATGCATCGGTACTGAGGGTTATCGAAGGACATCGTGCCCTGAAGGGAACTCCGACAGTCAGATTGGCTGGTACCAACCACCAAAGTAGAGAATGAAGCACCGAGGATGGGATTTGAATTAACTTCGATGGTGGGTCTCTCTGAGAGTGGAACATTTTGTTGAAGAGGAGTTGTAACGGACGGAGTCGAAGCCTGGCGTGCGGAACCGCAGCAACCATGGAAGCCATATGTCCCAGGATCCTCTGAATGGACTTCGCTGGGACCGTCCCGTCTCATCGCATTCGATGGATGTGGCGAGCAAGAGTCTGTTGTCTGTCCTGAGGAAGGAAGGCTTTCTCCAATATCGAATCTAGGCAGGCTCCAATGAAGGTAATAGTCTGCGTCGGAAGAAGAGAAGATTTCTTGGTATTAATGCATAGGCCCAGATCATCCAATAAGGCACAGGTTGTACGGATGGATGCAAGGAGTCCTTCCCTAGAATGGGACCCTAGCAGCCAATCATCGAGATACGGGTAAATTTGTATGCCCTGGAGGCATAGGAAGGCGCAGACAGGGGCCATACATTTGGTGAATACTCTCGGAGCCGTGGCCAGTCCAAAGGGTAAAACTGTAAACTCGTAGAAAAGGGGTGCAACAGCAAAACGAAGGAAACGCCTATAACTCGGGTGGATCGAAATGTGGAAATAGGAATCCTTCAGGTCCAATGAGGCGAACCAATCCTCTTTCCTTAGCAACGGCAAAATATTTTGAAGGGTGGTCATCCGAAACTTTTTTGTCACAATAAATCGATTCAGTTTACGTAAGTCCAAAATTGGACGTAAACCACCATCCCGCTTCAGGACCGTAAAATATCTGGAATAGAATCCATGAAGTCCGTCAGGTGGGGAAACTTGATGAATCGCTCCTTTACGAAGAAGTTGTTGTATTTCATTGAGCAATACCGGCGAACATGATGTAAACCGGATCGGACTTGAAGGAGGAACAATGTCGAATTCTATCCAATAGCCATGCTGAATGATGGACAGTACCCACCGATCAGATGTAATGGACTCCCAAATGGGGAGTCGGCTTCGCAGCCGATCCCCAGATGAGAGGGGGGTGGGTATGGAAGGAGGAAGAGGAGAGGTTCGCCAGTCCCATCAACGCTGTCTCCTGTCATCGAAACAGCGATGGCCCTGTTGATAGCGTTGCTGGGGCTGTGGACGCAGCGCTGCTGTTTGCTCTTGCTGTCGGTGCTGGGGCTGCTGTCTAGGTTGGTATGACTATCGATAAGATGGACGAGTCCATGACCACCTGGCCTTGGTCTGGATCTCCATCCTGTGTGCTGTCATGCGGAATTCGTGCAGCTTCTTCAATTTATGGTCGGTGCGAGAGTGGAAAAGCCCGGACCCATTGAAGGGCATATCCTCTATACGACGTTTAGTCTCCTCCGAGAAGTTACAATTTCTGAGCCAGGTGTGTCTCCAGAGTGAAACGGCACCGACCAAGGCCCTTGAGTCCGTGTCCACATGATGTCTGCCTGTGGACAACTGCTGAACAGCAACCTGCATTGCCTCCTTGATGAGGACCTTGGCCAGGTCACCCTGGTGGTCCGGGAGGGTCAAGGTGACGTTGTGGAGGCGCTGCATGATGAAGTATTGGTAACCTCGCCAACGTCACCTCGTAGTTGGAGCCCCAGGCCTGAAGCAGCGTAGACTCGCCTGGCCAGGGAGTCGATCTTTCAGCCCTCCTTGTCCCGTGGTGCAGTGTGACCTCTCGCCTCTCTACCCTGGGAGGACTCCACCACAACCGAGTTCAGCTTGGGGTGGCGGAGGAGGAAGGGGATGTCCTCCTCCCGAACCCGGTA